GACGACGTTTTGGATTTGATCGTTTAAGTTTTTTTCGAAAACTTTTACGATTTCCTGCATAAATTTGCTGCAAACGAACCGAGCTGCTACCCTGCCGGATAATATATGAAATTCTATGTTCCATATGAGATTAATTCCATTATGTTTAGTGCAATAATGTGCTAGGATTTTATTTGAATTTGAATAAGTCAATCCTCTTTGATTTGATTTGTGTCTGGCCGGATCGTCCATGTCGATTCATTGTTAGATTCGTACATTTCAGGTCAATTTTTTCGGTGACGAACTTTCGGCGCAACGTTCGATTGCAATTAGCTGAGATCTGAACCTATTTCATGCGGTGCGTTTGCTGAGCACATAATCGTTCGGCTATCAGTTTGTGGTGTGTTTCATACATTCTAATGTTTATTCGACGTTGAGACACTGATTCTGATGAATTTGCGTATTGAGACGCGATTAACAGTCTAAAAACTCTGTGCAGTCACGAGTAGTCATCAGTTCACTGAACTGTTTGAAAATTATCCACTCTGTTTACATCATTGAATGGAAATCAGATTACGAGTAAACGTAACCTCAGTATAACTTGCATTTTATTAGCTATCTGATTGTCAGATGGAATGGAAAACATAGATTTTTTAAAAATTTTGCGTCTAATGCACCGGACTTTAGCCCACTGGTCTCTTTCGAAAGTGATCGAATGAAATGAAATTTTAGCATCACGATCAGGCAATTTAAGCATGTTTATCATTATTATAGGTATCAAAAGATATAGCTTGCAAGTCTTATTGCAATTTCTTAAAAGAAATCGTTGATTTGACTTGATTCTATATTAAGAGTGTTGATGAAATCAGGCAGCTGTAAAGATCTCATGCAAAACCTCTGTTTTCTAGTATGTGCATTTAGGGTTAAAAAATTACAGTGAAGCAATTGGATGTCCTAGTATGTTTTGTTGAAACTGAATATCAAGCGTGACACTGTTATCGTGAAAGATGGACAAGAGAGCAGAAGAAACACATTCGAATCTGCATATGGCAAATGCAAATGACTGTAAACCGAGTACAAGTGACATTGTTATGGAGTCGTTATCGTCGTCTGAAAAGAATTCCGCCGTGGATATCGGTAGTTCAGAAAACGATGGTGGTGATCGTGAAGAAATTGTCAAATTGTGGAAACAAATGGATGAAAAATTGGAAGACAAAGCAAAAAGTCACAATTTGAGTGCAGTCAACGTAAAAACAATCCTTCACGTGAGTTATACAATAATATGCACAAACACATTATACGAAAGTGTCCGTTCAGTTGCCGACCCCTTAATTGATTCACAACGCAAACCTGAATAAAGTTTAAAAAGTTGTTTTAAAATTCCCTATCATTTTTTGATTTTTGACTGAATAACATTCATAAGTTGTTCCATTTTTATTCTCCAAACTGCTTTAACAATTTCGAAAAACATGAGTTCAAGTGTTGCTCCAATTTTGACTTACGACTGCGAAAAAACTCCAAGCTGTAGCGAGCACTATGAAAATTCGAACGGCATAAAAATTGAAAGGGTATGAAAATTTAAAAATCACGGAATTGAGACGAAGTCAAGTGTTGATTGCAGATGAAGAGGAATGAATAAAGTAAGAAATTGCAGCATTTGATCAAGAATCCTGGAGTGATTTCGCTGATAATGGGTATCGATGATGATGCTTCATTGCCGAATTTGAAACTTACTCGATCAAAAGTGAAGCAGCTATGCAATAACAAAAATAACAACAGCAATAATAATGAGGTCAGATATCAACAGCGATCGTCTAATAGTATTCCGACGTACAATATCATCCGAAATGCACTCTGTTTTCGGCATATTTTTATCTTAATCCGTTCTGTTTATAGAATCGCCGATTGGTCTATTAATACAAGACATATATTGTATTATTTAGTCAGTTCAAACCAGTGAATGATCAACAGACGAATGAATCGTTGTGATCGCATCAAAAATCTCTTATTTAATTCTGTGTTCAGAAAGATTTATAGTGATGTTTAGGGAGTGGAACGAAATGTGGTTAGCAATTCACGTAGTAATTGGAACGAGAACGAGGTGGTTGTGGTTCCGAGAGCTGAACGAACGTTTTTGGATGTTGACTATGGGCGTAATGAAGACGATGATGATGACTATAATCCTGATTTGGTATGGTGATCGATATTGTTGGCATTTTTATTGTCTTTTTTAATCGTTAACATCAATGAAGATATCATTTCATCGAGATTATTATCATTTTGCCATCTTAACTTCGAGCTGAGATACGATTATATTGATATTCAGTAGCTGAATCAGTTGCCAGAAAATGTATTAGAAACGAGATGAAAACAATATTCTAGGATGAAGCAGCATTGGGCAGTGATGCTGAGTTGGATGAGGCCGAAGCCACTCTAGATGATTGTCCGAATAGAACCCTTCAGGTGTTTTTTGGAACTGTTTTAATTTCTTCCACTTGAATTCTTTTTTCATCGTTTTCACGTTTGTACCACAGCTGTTCGATTGTTTAGCATCAAAAATTTGCAACGATCACGAAGGAATAATCTTGCTGATGATTGTTTAAGGCATAAAAAATATGAAATAATTCAGTGGAAATTGATTTGGAGGAATTGTTCGGAAAGGTGGAAATATTAGTGGAAAAAATGGGATGATTCGAATGCGATTGTTTGTTGATTAACGGTGATATGATGTTAAGATAATGGATGAGAGTGACGCGGATCAAGAGCAAGATCAGCCAGCACTGCACACTCGATCCAAATACCCGAATGCTTGCAGCGCAGATGCAGCAGCGATCGCATCCACATCAGCATTGCCAATCGATGATGACGCACTGCTGTTCGGTGATGATGTACTCTTGTATTCAGCTATTGATGACCCTGATTATATGGATTTCATCACTACACTGAATGATCCGACTCGTTACGATGTTGTTGACGGTGACTAGCTTGATTTGTTTTATTCTCATTCAAAATTTGACTTGTTTTATTGTATTCATTCATTTATGTGAATTCATCATTGAATTCATTCTCTGCGATTGTTTGCATTATTCTTTCTTTTTGGTCATTCAACGGAATAGTTTAAGTACACTGATACGCAGTTCGTTTTTGTGATCTGATGGAATTTTTTGAGAGAATCCGCAGATTTGTTTCAACAAAAACATTCGACTGCTACTTATATTCTTCGTAACTTCCGTTTGAAATAATCGGAGACATGGATATTTAAGAAAGCATTCGATGTTGTGTTGAATATCTAAATTGCAGAGTCGGAAGATGATCCCGAATACAATTTTATGTGTGATCTGGAATGTGAGGAAACGCCTGAACGAGATGAATTGAGAATGGATCGTGGAACGGAGATTCCAATGCGCGAAGTGGAGAATCTACTGCAAGATTTGCTTGACTGTGGTTTGACGAACGCTAACAGTCATAATCAGCAATTCAATGAAACAATAACTCAAGAACATTGCGATCACAACGAATCCACAGCGACGCATCAATACAGCACTCAAGAGAATAAAGGTGCTAATGATGCAGCCTACAACAGTGGTCATTTACCACAGTCAACCTCGAAAACGAAGCGCCACAAAAATGCATCGGATCATCATCAGCTATTCACCGATCATATCACTGTTCTAATGAACGCAACAGATGAAGACTTGCAAAAAATATCGTTGCAATCGGCCATCCTTGACGATACGTCCACCGGCAAACGACCGCAGTTCACAAGCTCTGAACTGGAACAACTACAGATACAAATGACAAAGGTCGTTTGCGTTATTCCATCCGTATTCATTTACTGAACACGTTTCGTTTGTCCGCATTTCGTCAGATTTTTCCATTTATTCGCCGTCCCTGTCACCGTTTTTTGCACCGTTCAATTTTCTGAATTGTTTCATCGTGTCGATTGATCGTTGCTGGTTGTGTTTCATCGGTATGAAATTTTCGCCATGAAACTAAAGGGCTTTTGTGAAGTGTTGATTTCATAAGTGATCCTTTTTTTCAGCATGTTCAATTGTTAACACAATTTATGGTGGGATGTCATTTTGACGAATCACTTTTCGACTTACGAAACGAATATCAGAAAATGATAGTTAGTTTTGAGCGTTATTTTTGAATTGCTTGATTGAGGCTGTTTCGCTTTTTTGTTTTTCTTCACTTTTTGTATTGATCGTATCGAATCGAGTTAGCATACGATATGAAGTGAATATATTTGAGAATGACTTGTACGAACACAGTACCAATCAACCGTCAACATCGATATTCGCGAATATAAAGAATCTAGAGGCGAGTATTGTAACATGTCACGATGCGGTCAATTGTGAGACTGTGCTCTTTCCACAGCTCGAAGAGCCACGTTATAAAAAATGTAAGCTTTATTTGTTCTGAACTCTTCCTTCCAATTGAATACTTTATTCCCTTGAAAAATTCGTTTGTTTGATGAATTAAGTTCACATTCAGAATTGCTACTAAATGATTTCCAGCAAATAATTATTCTCAAATGATTTTTTTCTTCAGTGAATGTACCTCTTGCACAGACCATGCTGGTTTTGGGACGAAGTAATGCGTTGTTGTATCCAGAATTAATGCCTACGGTAATGCTTTCAGTCCTAATTCCTCCACAATACGTGCATGATTACACAGTTCCATAATCAATCCGCTTTCAAGTTTTTATTTAATGACTGTTTCGATTAAGTTATGCGATTGTATGAATTCGCTTCATTGTTCTTAAGAGGTGTCTTGCAATTATCGTCAAGTTGAATTCATTCTTTTTCAAGCTTACTGAATTGGTTTCAGTTCATTGGTTAAACTGGTTAGATACAATATCATTTGTCGTATATTTCATAGAATATTTTGATTATAATCTAATATGCCTTATTGTATCATTGCGATGATTACAGGTTCGGCTACGTGCACAACCGTCCTATTATCAGTACTTTACGGCAGCTGAAGAGTGCTTGTTGGCAATGGGACAGTACATGTTCTCGGATGTGCCGCACTCAACATCGTCGAAGCGTGACGGTCGCAATACCCTGATCGTTCGTCATTTTTTACCCAACAAACAAGTCTCGCAGATACGTCTTCACATGAAGAACTTTCGGTTCAGTCATGAACCAATCTACACGATTATTGCGGTAGGTAGCGCTGATAGACTTTTGTTGCTCTTGTTGGCTATTCAATAAAAGTTGCTCTCTTTGGTTTATTTGGAAGAAAAATCTGCGTTATTTTTGAGAATGAATTTCTGTATTGAATGTTTACTGGAAGAATATTTAAATCTCGATTTGTATTCGTTTAAATTTGCTGAAAAGAAAATTTGACGTTTTGTTTAGCGCTAAATATTGTTTACCAGAAGTATTACCAGAACGCTAAATGTTGAACTTTTTAATGTTCGCATTTGAAAATTAACTTTCGAACGTGATGCATCGACAAAATGGTTTTTGGTATGCGTAGAGTTCTTCTCGGAGGAATGAAAAGCAATTTTATGGGCGAGCCTTCAATCGTACGAGCTGAACGCCGCATCAGTGTTGACAATGATTTCTCTTATCGTTCGAAATTATCATTTACTCTCGTTTGGCATTTAAGCGTGCCGAACAAGGAATGGTCACTATGATATTCCCTGCAGAAAAAGCTGATACTGCTCAATCAACTGTGCCTTATTTGTGGCCTGAAAATGTTCAGCCGAGATGGTTACAGGTAATTGTTTATGTGCTTTATGTTCATTTATTGATAGGAGTTGAGGATGCAAAGAGACCCAGTTACTTAACTTTGGCTGCTAGATGGTGGTGTCATTGTTGTATTTTGCTCGAAATTATAGTTTAGTTTACATATTATGGTGAAATTCATTTTGCATCAATGCGGTCGATCTGCAGAGCGCACTTTCGTAATATAGATATGTTTTTGAGTGAATAAAGTTGTCATTATTATTGCTATTAAGATTATTGTTGTTGTTATTGAAAAGTATTTTGCAGATGCTTAATAAGGATACTTTCTGTCGAAGCACGGTTGTGTCTTCAGATGCTCTGACGGTACCGTTGAATCTTCTTAAAAGTCAGTTATCTTCTCCTTCTTCCACGGCTAATTTTGATGTAACAATTCGACCTTTGCCAAAAACTGATGATTTGTCACCAGAGCAGTCATCATTGAACGACGCAGAAGGTATAATAATAAGACGACTACCGAGAAGTGGCGATTCTACACCAACACGACAATCGCCGTCTCAGTTTGAGGTTCGTAATTATTAGATATTGCCACTTTTTTATCTCTTTTTCAACGCAGTTAAAATGCATTCATGAGTTTTACTGAAAATTAAAGATGAGTTTCTTGTTAATTATGAAAACTGTTGGTGTAAGTGGTGGATTACGATTGATTTATAACCGAGACGCAGTCTGCATTTAGCTTCATGTGAGCTCATTCAACAAGCTAGAAATTGTATTCACTTCGAAACTGATGTGTTTTGCTCATATTGAAGGAATGAATATTGTTTGCAAGGAGTTTTTGTCAAGAAAGAAAAAAAACTTACAAAGGAATTGAAAATTCCATGTTTGCGTTGATCAAAATTTGTTTATGCCATATTGTTGCAGAATTGTTGTGATACAGATCGAAACGTTCATATGATTAATTCGGTGAGTTTAAAAGATCAGGAACGGACACTTGAACAAAGCCAAAAAGAAACAGATTTGGAAAGTGGCGAAAATATCGATATTAATGCGTCATGTGCACTTTCGAAGGGAACAAATGTATTGATAACATCTGATGCACCAATGGCGGACCATACTGGACAACAAATTAGTGAACTAAAACGGAAATCATCGTTGGAAACATTCGGAGAACATGTTATTATTCCCACGAAACGACCGTCAAAAATTGTGAGAATTCGTGAGGGGCATGTAGTTAGTGAAGAGACATTACGAGAGGATTTTGATGATGCTCGGAGAAGCGAACGGGAACAACGCCTTATAAACGAACCACCAAATCATTCGAAAGAGATGATCATTGCTATTGATCAATCGGTGAACTGCAGCACCAACAATAATGCCTCTGAATGTGGAACAAGTGAAATAACGACAAGATTAAGCGACTCGAAAGCACGATTGCTGAGAGCAGATCATGATGTTGATAGTGATATGGTAGTGGAAGAAGTTACTGCGAGTAAGAGGAAAATCGTTTGTGATAAGTCTAATTCTGAAAAGACTTCCACATTAACGACCCTCAATCAGCAAACGAATGAAGTGAGGTTAAGTATTAGTGATAACAGTGGTAATACTGATAATAATGAATCTCAGCACAGTACACCGACAATAGCAATGAACTGTAACAGGCAGTCGTCAAACGACGGTGTCTCGAACGTTGAACAAGCATTTGATCCAGCTGAAGCGGCTAATTGTCCTCCTTATATTGGCGTATCACCTCCATCGTCATTGCCAATCGCACCGACGCCGTGTCAATTCATTATGTTACCGGTGGTACCGAACTGTCAAATAATCGTGGTCACACAGCCCGTCGCAGATGCAAATACACATCAGCCCGTTATATTAAGCGCTCCAACCCTAACTGAGACACCATCCCAAGTTCCATCAGAAGTGCATTTCCAGAATCAGAGTGCAAGTTTCATTCAAGTTCCAGCCCAAGTCGCAATAACCCAGCCATCGATTTTAGTGAATGAATCAGTAAAAATGAATAATTCACCAACAACAATGAATAGTCAGTTAATAGCACCAGAAACAGCTATCTCAGTGTCAGCATCCGTATCAACTGCAAATGTAACTCAACAAGCAAATAACGTATCTATCGAGACGAATAATACCTCTCAAAATCATCTAGTTGCCACCCTACCATCAGTTTCTTGTCAGGATCCAATTACAAATCAAAATTTATCTGATGATGTTTCGGGAAATCATCAGATTGAAAAATCGTCAACTGAAGACGGCTCTTCTCATGAACAACCGACTACCTCATCAACTAGCGAATCTTATGAAAGTCATGCAAAGTCATCATCTGGGGCGGAATCTGGCGAAACACCGTCGGTATCTGATCCGCTTCTACTGTCGAAATGTTCCAGATCGATCACCAGAACTGATGCATCCGACAAGCTGAAAATAGCAAAGCAACATAAATCCGCTGGTAATTTTGAGGCGAACCTTGAAAATTCTATTGATAGTTCACCACACAATGAAAATCACGACAATATAAAGCGGAGAAGCAGTACTTCAGAAGAAATGAATAGCATCGCAACATTTAGTGATCCGAGTCCATCACAAGTAAAAGACATGCATGCAGCAACTTTACCGGTTCTCGAACATATGCCAGATATTGAGACTGATCGTAAGCAGCATACTAATCGCCGACATTTCCAACCTGTTCGTCATGCTCAAAATAATGATAAATGTAAAAATCCCGTTCAAAATTCTCATCAATTTGCATCATCTGCTTCTTTCTATTCGTCGATTATGATGACTGCAGCGGTAATACCTCAAAAACAGCAATCGTCGTCATTATTTGATAGTGTCTCACCTTCCAGAGCACTCTCATCTCCAGATCTACACAAAATCACTTTATCACCTGATTCTGATATAGATTATTTTTCGGATACATATCAGCATTCGGATTCCGCTGTATCACCGGCAAGAGTCAGCTCTTCTGCAGTTGCCGTCTCTCCACCGAGGCAGTCATCGCCCCTGGAACGAGGTCGCAGTCGGTGTTATTCATCTTCATCTGAAGATTATGAGGATTCCAACAGTGGGTTGACAGTGTTGTTCGCAAACACGAGTAGAGAGAACAGCGGGAGGATTAGTTCGAGAGCTGTGCTAGAGACTGATAACAGTGGACTCAATGATAGTGACAGTATCAATAATAATATCGGTGATCAGCACAATGACACTGCCAGTTCAATGATTACTAGTAGTGAGCGACAATGTGCTCAGGACAGCGATGACGATAATGCGAATGACAATGATAAGGGAAATAATGATGTGGATAGAAAGCATACACCAACGCCACCTCCACGAACTCCAGATTGGCACTCATCTTCAAACATGTATTTGAGTTTCATTGACGACTCAGCTTCGAAAACGAGATTCACTGGTATGTTTGTGCTTTCTTTCCTCTTCGTTTTTGATTATCATATTCTTGAATCGCATTCAACTCTCGTACCTCATTTGTGCACTTAATTAGCTCAATTCAAATCCTCCTTCTTCCCTTATTGAAGTGACTCATGATTCCTTCAGATGGTGAAGGTTCACAAGCACCATGGCGATGTGACGGTTGGACACCGAAAACTCCAGGAGAACCTGTTAAGTCGATTACGAAAGATGAACAGAGGTATGATAATAGGCTTTGTCGTGGAATTGGTTCATTGGTCATTCGTTGTTTTTTTTCCACTTAAAAAAGTTGATGTACTCTTGCCTAATAAAAGACATTCTCTATGAATACGAACAGTGATTCGCTATGGAAGTGTTGTTTATGATGTGCACGAATCGAATTGATTGTTTTCTGCTGGTTATTTGCATTAATGAATCATTTCAGTGATGTGAATAGAAAAGCGAAAGTGGCAAAGAACTTATTCGCAACATTTGATGATAATGGCGATAATGAACGGAATATTATCGTGTCACCCACCGAAAACCAACAAAGATCATCACCCTCACCATGTCATACTTCGAATGAATCTCCTCTTCAATCGACGGATATTTCTCGCCAATGGCCTTCTCAATCCAAAACGGCAACTACAGAATTTACTACTCAATTGTTATCAACTAAACAGCAATCTGATGATGGTGCCACACGATGCTCATCGCAATATGAAACAATTCGATCAGTTTTTAACAATGACAACGTAGAAATGGATAGCACGAACATGAGAACGTCTTCTAATCTGAAGAGTATTCATCAAACGAATGATAATAGTTCCATCAATGATAGCCATAACAATACGGATCAAATAAGCGGCAATGCAAGCGAACTTCTCATTGATAATCGGAACAGGAAACGTAAGCGTAAAGAGAGATTAGTGGATGGTTTACGAGGGATGTTGAATTCGAATCATCGCGCTAAACAAATGCGTGCGATGAGTGGTGTGATTATGGATGACTTCAAGCAGAAACTCTTCATGCATCAACACAAAATACATTCCATTCAGCAGTTAATCACTGCACAACAACCTTCCACACAGGTTTACAGTCTGTTT